GAAACCTGAAAACCTCCATCCCCCTCCTTACCCTTCATCCTCCTGTGCCTCCTCCGTGCCCCTCCCCCTCATCATCCCTCGTCGTCCTCCTCCTCCTGCTTCCTCCTCATCCTCCTACTTCTCATCTTCACCCTCGTATCCCCATCGATGCTCTCGATCTCCATCTTTCTTAAGAACACTCATCCCAGCCCACTCATCCGCCCTAGCCTTCCTCGTAATCGATGCTCTTCCCCCTCCTTTATCGCCCGCGCTCCCGCTCCTCGTCGCATATTCCACTGCCCTCTCATTCTGCTACTCTACCCTCTCCACCTACCCTCCTATACCCTCTTACGCTCATGCCCTGCCCTCCTGCCCTCCTTGTCCGACTCCAACCGTGCTCGACCTTCTTGCCCTACCTGCCCGGCCCGACTACCCGCCCCGTCCCCTCCCGCCCTGCCCCGGAACTCTCACCCTCTGACCCTTCCCTGTCCCCCCCCCCAGGCGGGGGGGGTCTGGGCCGACATCGAGCCCGTCATGGAGCCGATGGAGGCGGCGATGAAGGCAATCAGCAAGCAATAGGCTGGTGGCCCGCGGCACGTTGGCCCCAGGCTGGGCCCCAGTTGGGCCTGTGTGCCACTCGCGGCTCGCGGCGCGTTGAAGTAGGGCAGGGCCCTCGTCGGGCCTGGGGCCCCCTTGTGAGGCCCAAGTTGGGCCTGGAAGATCATCGAAACCGTCCGAATTCGGGCGGCAAGGGGGAGGGGGGGGGGGTAGAGTAGGCAAGGGGAGACGAGGGGGTACGGCAGTAGAGGAACACGTCATTACGACGGCACGAACGCACGGACATACGAAAGTAGAGGAAAGGGGGCAATGCGGAAAGGAAGTGGAAGGGGGAAGATGAGGAGAAAGTAGAATAATGATGACGAGGACGGTTCATTCTAGACGGTTCGCTGCCCGAGCGGAGTGACATTGGTGCAGATATCTTGCCCCGTGCTAGCGCGCGCTCGCGAGCGTGCGCGGGCGCGGAGGAACATTCAGGCGCGGAGATGCCCGCGCGGAGAGCGAAATGCGCGTGCGGCATTGCGGAGGGACATAATGATGAGAAGGAGGAAAGGAAATGATGAGCAGGAATAGTGGAGGAGGAGGGTGATGATTCGCAGGAGTGGTCTTGGAGAGCGGGGCCCCGAGCCTGCTTGATCGGTTCGCAAAATGACGGAGCAGCGCTTGCGAGGATGGAGTTCGTTCGAGGGGGGCGGCGCTGGCAAGGCGCATAGGCCTGGGAATCCAGGGCTGATGCTGACATGCGCCCTCGCATCCAAAGCCCGCCCCCATGAGTCCAGGCCCCCTGGAGGGGGCGAACGGGGGAGGAGGGGCGATGGATGAATGGGGGGATGGCTGATCCATATTGCACTTCAGTTGACTTCCGATATCAGGTGTTGCGCACTTCTGCAAGAAGACCTGTCGAGCCTGCTCTTTCGAGGGCGAGGTGGGAGAAGGGGAGGGGGATAAAGGATTGGGGTTCAACGCGACGGCGCCGTCGCGTGGGGATCCACCCGTCATTTTGCCGCGTTCTCGGATGGATTGGAGGCCGCGTCGACGCGCGGCGGGCATTGCATTCCTGTTAGGAAGGGGGGGGGGGGGCGGATTTGAGAATGAGCATTGTCGGATACATAGCCCGATTTCTGTCAAGATGGGGGGTTCTTCTGCGATTGCCCCCGTGCACCTCGGACTCGCCATTCTCACGTCGGGGAGAGCGGGTGCAGCGAGCATCGTGGCAGAGGGTTCGGAAGGCAGCGGCCCTCGGAGACAGGCGGGCGCCAGCGTCGGAGCTCCAGCAACATCGGGGGCCCCCGGGGCCGAGCGCGATGGAGGGGCGGGGCTTCGGAGGTTCGTTCCTCTTGTCCAAGTATAAGGAGGGTCGTTTGAGCGCAGTGGATGTTTCATCAATACGCTTTCATTCAATGATGGCGGGGGCCACGGGCGCAGGGGACCTTGCACTGAATCCCTCGCAATCTGCCCACGCAGCGGAACACATCAGAAAAGCGCTGGATGTCTCAGGCCAGTGTAATTTCTATTACATCGACCTCCCTGTCTGGGGTACAGAGAAAGACACCCGTACACATATCAAGTTTCCAGTAAACCTACCGCGCGAACAGTCTGCCAAAAGCTGGGCAGCTGCCCCCCCCCCCCCCCCGCCCACGAGTGGGGCCCTCTCAATTTTAGTGTGGAGGAGTGGCCTGTGGGATTCTCTGAGCACGCTGTCGTGCGCGAGAACCCAGCCAGGACAGCGTCGGTGGGCTATTTCAGTGACGGGGTCCCTTGGTCCAAGCGGGACACATTTGTCATATCGTACATGTCGAACACAATGACAAAACAACGATTTACGATTTGTGCCGTGAGAAAGCAAGACGTTTGCAAGTGTGGGTGCCATGGCCAGTGCGCGTTCGGCCAGATCAGCCGCGCGCTGGCCTGGTCCTTCAACGCCATGGCAACGGGCGTGTGGCCAGGGATCAACCACCAGAACCTGCCACTCGACGAGGAGCGGGCTCTCAAACGAGGGTTCGATTTGGCGGGCGGGTGGAGGGCTGCAGTCACGGAGATAAGGTGTGATTTGCTAGAGCTGACGTCTGCTTTCGGGTTCAAAACCTGGCAGAACGCAACGCATCCGTGCAGCTTCTGCGACATCGAGAAAAAGGACCTCTTCCGCCATCCAGCAACACTTGACGACGCTACCTGGACCAGGGAAGATGCAAACACATCTAGGGAGATGGTGGCCGCGTGTATGAAGAAGGTCACAATCAGTAGTGCTGCGGTGCTCCGCAGGCTCATCACACATATGTGTTTGGACCCTGACTTCGGTGGCTTTAGCCTTTGGAAGAATTTCCCCGCGCTGGAGTTGAAGACAGGATTTCGCTAGGTGGAGAACGCATGTGTTAACGACGTCCACTTGCTGAAAGATGTAGAGACACCTGCAGGGCTTATTTTTTGATTCGAAGAATTCATTTGGTTTGGAATTGGTAGCCCCTCTGCTGACTGTAAAAGGCGTGTCCGCGGACACTTTGGTAGTGGACGCAATGCGCGTGATGGACCTGGGGGTGAGCCAATGGGTGATCGGGCAAGTATTTTGGCAACTGGTCAATAATAATTTATGTAGGTCCCAGAAGAAAAGGAAATCCATGCGCCTACGCGACAACCTGCTACACCTGCGACGGCGGATGAAGGCCTACTACATCAGCATCGGGGCGGGCGCGAAGCAGCACAACAAGAGCGCGATCGGCCGCGTCTCACTGAAGATGTTCCAGCCCCCAGAGAAGCGGCCCAACAAAGCCAGGCTCCGTGCGAAAGCTGCAGAGACACGTCACCTAGTAGGTCTGCTGCCGCAGCTATGCGGCGAGCCCTTGAGGTTTCTGGGCCCGCGGAGGCAGCACTTAGTTGCCGCCTGCCCCTTTCTTAATAATGCATATGCAGCCCAGGAGGGGGGACTCGCCACATGAGCCAAGTTTCCGCAGACGCACTCCATTGGCAAGAAGGGAACGTGCGTTCACAATTCTACCCGCTGTCGCCCGCGTTTTGCTGGACTCGGCTCGTCCTCGCGCGCCGCGTATATTGCTGCATCCGCCTCGATCATTACTCATCATCCATGATCACCCCTGGGCCCCCTCGGGCCCGTTCTCCTTCCCTGCCCCTCCGTTATTTACCCGGTCCGCTCTCCCTCTCCTCCCTCTCCCGTCATGATCCAACCTTCCTCCCTCCATGCGCGTGAATGCGCAATCCCTTCTTGTTTGAGAAGGGAAATCCGAGGTCGTATTGGACGTGCCCCGACGAGGCGGAGAATCGGCCCATGAAGACGGCTGCCGTTTCCCTTCACGGCGGGGCCACATTTTATGCCAGGTTCCTGGAGAGGGTTATCCCAGAGTTTCTGTGATCTCTGGGAACCCTCGACTGTACAGGACTTGATGTAAAATCTGCCCTCGCCGTGAGGGGAAACGGCAGTTGTCTTCATGAGTGAACATGTTCGCCTCCTCGTTCGGGTTGTTCAATGCGTCTTTCTGATGAGAATGTCTGTGTGTATCTACATGTATAATATTTCATTATATAAATGTTTCGTGGTTAGCGAGGTTTCCCTTCACGACAATCTGCGACGCGCGCGCCTTGGCCTGGATCAAGGAGAGGCGCTCGAGGCCTCCAGTTCGCTTGGAGGAGAAAGCGCGGGATCGTCCTTCATGCCCCCCCCGCCCCCTTCTCTCCCTGCCAGCTTTCCTCCCTCGGCCAAGGGGCTCGGTGTCTCGTCTCCCCGTTTCCCCTCCTCCATCCTGCCGCCCTCCCTTCCTTCTCCTTCCTTCCCTCTCTTCCTGCCTCCCTCGTCCCTTCCCCCCCCTCTCCGTCCCCCCCCTCCTCCCCTTCCCCTCTCTCCCTCCCCTGCCTCCTCGCCCCTCCCGCTCCTTCCCAGCGCCAAGACTGGATCCCCTGTGATTCGGGGCGCGCGAGGATGCGCGGATCCAGGTTCTGGCGTCTCGCCCCGACGTCGTGATTTTTTCATTGCGCCGACCCCGAGGTCTCGACCCATTCCCCGACGCCGGCTTCTCGCCCCGAGTTTTTTTTCGGGCCCCTTGGGAATGGCCCCCCGAGGTTAGAACAATATCCCGTCATGATGTTTTCATGTAGCCCTGGGGCAGCCCAGAAAAATATCAATCATATGTGTGCCCCGGGAATTACTCGTCGTGGGATCCGTGGGATCTCGGATCAGCAGGGCTCGAGCGAGTCTGCTGTTTTGCCACCTTCCCTCTTGGCGGGGTCGACGCCGCGCGGCCCAGACCCCCCGCGTCAGTTTTTTTTTGTTGTAAAACATATATCCATGACGTCGGCCTCTGGCGGTCTCGACCCATTTCCCTGGGCCAGTTCTATATCCTGAGTCGTGTTTTTGATGGCCCCGAGGGCCGGTCAGGGTCCCCAGAGGCCGAAAATAGCAAAACACCTTCCGTCCTGATTTTTTCATTACCCGAGGGGGTCTAGCGCTTGTGTACATGGGTGACTCGCGGCGGGATGCGGCCATCGACTCGCGGCGGGACGCGGTGACCCTGGCGCTGGTGATCGGCTCGCGGCGGGATGCGGACCTCGGCGCGCCGGTGCCCAGCGCGCGAAGGGCACCCAATGCGTCGATTCCCCCCCCCCCCCCTCCCCAGCCCACCTTTTTCGGCCTTACTCCTCGCGAGGCGCCGACGATCGCGGCGAGCTTCCGGCCTTGAGCGGGGCCCGGGGCGGCGGCGCTGCACTCCAGCCCCGCCCGCGCGCGCAGCGCACGCGCGCGCGCGCACGCGCGCACACGCAAACAAACAAACAAGCGCAAACACGCACACATGCACACATACACACGCGCAGTCTCCTCCAACATCGATCTTCCAAGCGGTGATCTTGCAAGCGGATGTTGGAGATACGCATTCCCGCAATTTGTCCTATCGCACCCCCCCCCCCCTCGACCCCCCCCCATCACGCACGCGCCCGCGCGCGCGCGCGCATGCGCACGCGCGCGCGCACGCGCGCTCACACGCACACACACGCGCGCGCGCACACGCACACACACACACACACATACACACACACACACACACGCACGCACGCACGCACGCACGCACGCACGCACGCACGCACACACACACACACACACACACCATCCCTCTCCGAATTCGAGCGATCGCAGGCTGAATAACATCAGCCGCCGCTCTGGCACGGTACTGCTCGGAGGGAGCTGCAGGCCCCCAGGCCGCCTCTCTCCCTCCTTGCCCGCGCTTCGATCGGAACCGCCGCCCTCGCCCCACCAACCTCCATCCACGCTTCCTACCACAATTTCCTCCCCTTTTCCTTCTCGGAGAATTAGCGCGTGGAGCTGGCCGCTGCATTAATGCAGAAGGGCCGCCCACGCTGCGCCTGCCAATTTCTCGCCCCCCTCCCCCCTCGATCCGGTTCGATCCGTGCAGCGAGGGCTTGGCGCGGGGACGTGCGCCGACAAGTAGCTAACGCATGCGCAACTTCGAGAAAACGACCCACCCTCCTAACCCATCCTCCCACCTCCTCGTATCGCTCGCCCGATGCAGCGACACGCGCCCGGGGACGCAGTGCGAGATTGCGACCATATGCTCTGGAAAGAGCCCTCATCCTCCTCCACCTCCTCCTCGCGGCCGCTGTCGTGAGAACGGCCCATTATGTGGCCGCCCTCCAGATGCCCTGACCTCCAGGCGTCGTGAAAAAAACACAACGTGAGGTTTTTCGCTATGTTCGGCCCCTGGGGGCTCTCACGAGCACTGGGCCTCGGGAGCGACAGACCTCCCGGGGTCGACGTCGCGAAAAAATCACGACGTCGGGGGTCTGGGGGATCCCAGGACGTCGCCCAAGATGCAGCGCCACGTGCTGCGCACAGATGAGCGTCGCCGACATTGTGACCATCGGCGTTTTGGAAATAACGCCCATCCCCTCCACCTCTTCCTCACTCGGGATCTTTACCTCTCTCCGATCGACTAAGACCACCCAGTTGGTCGACACGCGTGGCCGCATCATCGCGCGGCGTAGTTGTGCGGAAATAACCGTCGCTTGCTCGGAAACGGCGACCGTCCGCGCAGTGCTCGGGTTTCCCTTGCGTGTTTTTTTGTTCCAGGATTTTTTGTTCCAAGGATGTTTTTTTTCCCCCCGCCCTGGCCCCGACCCAAGATCCTGAGGCCAAAAAGCACGCCCCCCTCGACCTGCGCCACGCAGTGCCATCTCCGTGCACGCATGCCTGCGCATGATGTGTGTATGTTTGTGTGTATATTTATATAGTATATATAGCGTTGAGAGATGCATGTTTCTCCCTCTCATCTCTCGCCCCTCAAACTTTGACTAGGGCTCGCTCGCCTCGCGCACGAATCAGCGGCGCAGAGAGCACAGGCTGAATGGCCTGCGCGCCATTATGCACTACGCGCCACACGCATGCGGATGAAAAGTGCGGGCGTCATATATATACACATATATATGTATATACATATATATACATATATATATATATGTATATATACATATGTACACCTATATATGCCCGTGTGTATATGTGTCGATATATATATATATTATATATTATATATATATATATATATATATGAAAGCGTGTTCTACCGCTGCTGGCGGAAAAACGGGGGGGTCACTACCGGTTCGAACCCCTCCCCCCCCCCTCCGGAAAACCGGGGGGGGCCACTACCGGTTCGACCCCCCCCCCCCCCTGCTCATCATGAAAAGGGGGGGGGCCACTACGGTTCGAACCCCTCCCCACCCCCCCCTCCGGATCCGGAAAACCGGGGGGGGGGTCACTGCCGGTTCCAAATCCCCCCCCCCCCTCGAAAACCGAGTGGGGGCGCGGACAGTGGTGGGGACGGTGACAGTGGTGGGAACAGTGGGACAGCTCAGTGACGGCAGTGGTGGGGACAGTGGTGGGGACAATGGTGGGAACAGGGGGGGGCAGTGGACAGTGGTGGTGACGGTGGTGGTGGGGACAGTGGTGTGGGGACATTGGGAATGAGGTGGAAACAGTGGGACAGTGGAGGGTACAATGGTGGTGGGGACAGTGGTGAAGGCGGTGGCGAGGACGGCGGTGGGACAATGGGGCAGAGGTACAGTGGGGACAGTGGTGGGGACAGTGGGGACAGTGGTGGGAACAGTGGGACAGCTCAGTGGGACAGCGGAGGAGTCAGTGGGACAGTGGGGACAGTGGGGATAGTCGGGCAGTGGTTGGGGCCGTGGAGACAGTGGGGAGAGTGGAACCGTGGTGGGAACAGTCTGGGGACAGCGGGGACAGTGCGACAGTGGTGGGGCCACTGGTGGGGACAGTAGGGGCGGTGGTGGAACCAGTGGGGACAGCGGTGGTGAGGACAGTGGTGCTGGGAACACCAGTGGGGGATGTGATGCGGACGGTGGTGGGGACCGGGAGTCGTTTGCTGGCGGTGAGTAGGGGGGGGGGGGAAAGGGGAAGGGGGGGTGCGAACCGGTAGTGGCCCCCTCCAGTTTTCCGGATCCGGAGGGTAGGGGGGGGGGTGGGGTTTCGAAACGGTATTGACCCCACCCCGGTTTTCGAGCGGGAGGGAGGGGGGGGGGGGGGAGGGGTTGGGGAGGGGGGTTTTTGCCGGGTGAGGGGGGGGGGGGGGTGGGGGGGGGGTTCCAGCAGGGGGGGGGGGGATTTTCGGAGGGGGGGCGGGGGGGCGACCCCCGGGTTCCAGAGGAAAAGGTGGGCAATTTTCCACAGTAAAGCGGCGGTGGATCACGCTCTCTCTCTCATATATATATATATATATATATATATATGCATCGATGCTCGTTCCACCCCTTCCCAAATGTTTGAGTCGATCCTGGCGCTGCAGAAGGCGGCGTTGGCGCGTGAGCGGCATGCTGCCGTGTACTACTGCTATGCACGCATGTTGCAGAAATGAATATTGCCCGCCCGTCCATGATATCTTGCGTACCTTGGGCGCCCTTATTGCTTCCATGTCTTGATTTTTCAATGTCTTGATTTTGTTGCGACGTTTTTTTTTGTTCATGACGCAAGCGGCCGCCATGAGCAAAATCAGGGCTCCAGGGGGTCTGGGTCCGAAGGGATTCCCGAGACAGCCATGTGGCTGGACGGCGACGCGTATGACGACGATCATGACTTAGTATAATCTCGCGCCGTGCAAACAAAGCTGTTGTCTCGGGCCAAGGAAGAAAGCGGGGCCTGGGCCACCGGCCCCAGGATGAGGTCAGGGAGCTCCGAGAGGCCCTCCCAGAGGGCCCGAGGGGCCGCACCGCCTTCTTTGAGGTGTTCTCTCCTCCCAGAATCGGACCAGAGCTCTCGATGGGGGGGCTTCCGTTGGGGGCGCGCGTGAGCTTTTATCGGACTCTCGGCTGGGATGTTCGAGAGCCGGAGGCGATCCGTGAATTCAGGGGGGCAATGTATCAGGACGAGCCAGAAGTCGCGTGGCTTGGCCCCGAGCGCAGAGCTTTCTCAGCTCTGAAAAACATCAATCTTTCTCGGATGTCTCCGGAGAAACGCGATCCTATGGTGTCAGAAGTGGCGGCGCTTCTGTTCAGCGCGGAAATTGTTTCACATTCGAACATCCATATGTTGCCACATCCTGGGTGTCTGAGGCGGTAGGGCCGGTGGCTCAGTTGCCGGAGGCGTGCGAGCTAAGGATAGACGCGCGCCCGTTCAACCTTCAGGTGCGCAGCGACGGTCTCAGCGAGAAGCCAACAGGCATCTTAACAAACTATCCGGGGATTCAGAGGACCCTAGGGGGGTACGTCTGTCTAGGAGGACACAAACACGTGATTTGGGATAATCAACTTCGTCTGAAAGCGCAGGTGCACCCCCGAAAGTTTGCGCGAGCCGTAGCCCGAGCCGCCCTGGAGATCTGGCAAGGAGCGAGGCAGCCCGCGCCGGTTTCATCACTTGACATGCTCGAGAGCTCGGGAGCCCGACCCCTTCTTGACTACCCAGGGTTTTCCGAAGGTGAGGATCTTAAAGAGGGGGGTCAGGATCCGATCTCGAGGAGCCAGAGACGAGGCCAGCACAGCGACCTCGCGGAGGCTGGTCGGAAGACGTTTCAGAGGTCACCGAATCCGAGCGCCGGCTAGTGACCGAGCTCCACATCAACATGGGTCACCCAGACAACGGAAACACATCCGGGTTCTCCGAGCAGGAGGGGCCAATGTATATATTCGAGACTCCTTCCGTTGCCCAGAGCGCGCCGGAATAATTGGCCCGACCATCATCGCAGGGTGGCGCTTTCTCGAACCTCTCGTTCCAACCACATACTAGGAGTGGATGCATTCTACATCCGGTTCGCCGAGACGTTGCATCCTGTCTTGAACATCGTTGACCACGGGTCGAATTTGCAGATATTTGTGCGTCTGCCAGATGCCAAAGCAGCGACAGTGTGGCACGGGTTTGGACCGTTCGGGCCCCCACACCACATGATGAGTTCCGTGACCGATTTTCTCGAGGCTTAGAGCACTGGGGGGTCTTGCATCATTTCGCAGACGCCAGCGGCCCGTGGCAGAACGGAGGAGCCGAGAGACATGGGGGGTGGATCAAGTCCCGTCTCCAGTGAGGAATCGATTCGGGTTCGGACCTGCCCTCCAACCTCGACGAACTCGATTCTCTCTTGAGCGAGCTGACAGCCCACGAAACCAGGTTTTGGCACCGGGGGGGGTACTTCTCACCATTGCCACTGTTGTTCGCGTGCAACCCGCGCTTTCCCACAAGCTGCTGTCGGACGATGGTCTAGGACTGCCGGGGTGGCAGGAAGCGCTGAAATAACCTTCGGAACGGGCTGCCGGCGTCGAGTTCGCTAGATCTCTCAACGCGCGAGGGATCCAGCGCGCCAGCTGGCCATGGAAACGACGGCCCGGGACCGCGTCCAGACGGCGACCAGGGCCACGGGACCCCCAGTGAAAAGCTTTGCGCCTGGCCAGTTGGCTTTCCTGTGGAGACGCCCGGCCAGGGCCACCTCTAGATCGGAACCCATCGGGGTCCGTCGCGACGCCTGGGCAGGCCCAGGGGTCGTTATCCTCCAGATGGGCGGCGCCGTTTGGGTCGCTATGCGATCGAGGTCCTGGAAGTGCTCCATGGGCCAAGTCGAGCCGGCTTCCGCCGAAGAAGAATACGGCTTGCAGCTATCCCAGGACCCGAAGTGGACGGAGTCGATGGCTCAGGCCAGACAAGGGAGAGTTGCGGCGGCACGCGTTCGACGGGAGGGGCCACCCCCCGATGAAGCGCGGGGCCGCCCCGGCCGTGCGGGGGTAGACTTAATTCCAGCCATCCACCTCCCCATCCGCTGCCATTTCTCAGGTTCGAGTCGAGGGGGGCTCTGCGGGCCGCTAGATCCCCATCGGGAGGGGGTCCCGGCCCGAGCGCCCCTGTCCTCGGCCCAAGGGGGTGGCCAGTCCTGGCCCGGGGGCGCTCCGCAGGATCCGTCGGGTCGGCGTCAGCTCAGCCTCCCGCTCGCTTGCTTTCAATTCCCGAAAAGGGGCTTCCTGCGACACCTCCGAGCCCGTCGATTGAAGCGTCCGATCCCGAGCAACCCTCGAGGGGCGAACCAGGGCCAGGGGACGTCTCGCCGCCAGAGCAGGAGTCCATTCGAAATCCGGTGAAGAACCACAGCGAAGGGCCCAGCGCGCCTAGCCCCCGGGCGGTTCGGACGACGCTTCAGCAGCCAGACGACGTGCCAGGGTGCATCCAACGAGCCCGGCCCGAGGCAAGGTCCGCCGCGGCCGCCCGCCAGGGGGGCGAGCTCCCGGGGTCCTCGGACGTCAAGAGCCCCCGGATCGAGCCGCCTCCCGGGTTGCCTGTCTCTGGCCCTGCTGCAGCCCAAGTTCTAGGATCCAGCTCCAGCTCTGCCCCTGAGCTGAGAATCCAGGGACTTCCCTTGGGACCTTCGGGGCCGAGCTCCGAGGATCGTCGCCTGGTGTCTGAGCGCGCCCAAGAGATCGAGGATATATTGGGCCGATCCCCAGACAGGCAGCTAGACCGCGAGCGATCTCCACGCAGAGGAGACGCCAGCTTGACCTCTTTCTAGGTGAGTCCGGGTACTCAGGAGCCGTGTGTCTCGAGGAAGTCCAGGAGTCCGAGGAGGTTTTCGCCGCGGTCCGCGGGAGGGATATCATCTGGTCAAGGCTGCCGAGCAAGCGAAGATCGACATGCCAGACGCCTCTGAACGGAAAAACATGGCGGGTTCTGGGGCCGCGAGAATTCTTCCCCCTTCCCAGGCCAAGAAGATTCGGGAGACGATCCCGGTGAGAATCGCATCATCCAGGATGGTCCGAAGATGGAAGGAAACTTCGCCGAGCCTACTGCGAAATCTCGACGGTGCGTTCGTGGCCACCAGGACCCAGACGCGAGATCGTTGACGGTATTGTCCCCCGCCCCACACACGACGTCGATGATGATGTTCGTGCAAGTGATAATGGATTTCAACATGTTGGGGGATCGCTGCCGCGAAGAACGCATTTACCCAGTCCGACCCTATGCGACGGGTCCATGGCCCTCTGCATGCAGGGCCGCGTCGCGGTGTAGAGGTCGAGGAGGGGCCCCTGATCGAGCTGTTGGTGTGCGCGCGCGCGGCCTAGATGATGCCCCAGTACCGTGGAGACGCACAGCATCTAGCTTTTTCACCGAGAGAGGATGCCGCCGCTGCCTTCTGGAGCCTCGTTGGTGGACCAAGCGAGACGAGGGGGGAACGATCGAGGGCGTGATTTTGATAGAAGTGGACGATTTCGTCATTGCATCCATGGGCGCCGATGCCAGGACCGCTCCCAGGAAAATGTCAGAATCTCGCTTCCGTCTCGGAGAATATCGCGGTCTCCAGGCCGGGGCAGTAGAGCGCGCCGGACGCCGACTGACCTACGGCCCTTCTAGATTTATCGTGGACCAGGAGAAATACATATTAGAAGACTTGCTACCGCTGAAGATTTCTCCAGGAAGATTGTCTCGCCGAGACAACCCCCTCGAAACCTCGGAGTTCAAAAGCTCGCGGTCCGCGGTTTGCACAATCAACTGGGTGGGGCGAGGGGCTCGACCGGAAGCGGCGGGGATCGCATCGATCATGGCGAGCCGTTTGGAAAATCCGACCTCTTGGGACGCGACGTGCGCCAGCAAGTCGGTTCGTCATTTGCGATCCACGGCTTCCAGAGGCCTGTCGATCTGGAGACCAGACCCAGCTAGGATGACTTTCTTGACCGTTTCAGACGCAGGAGGCGTCGGGGCCAGGGGGGCCTCCAGGGCTCCAGAGGGCTCCCCGAGGACCCGACCCAAGGGGCTTGGATGGTTCTCGCCGCGGACCGTCAGGTACTGGAGAACAGGGCGGTCCGCGCCCCTCTGCCGGGGTAGAGGCCACCCAAATTGCGTCGCCGTGCTCCTCCGACACTCGCCGGAGAAACTCTTGCACTCGCGTCGGCAGTGGCCGAAGCCGAGTTCCTGCAGGTATTGCGCGGGGATGCGGTGTGCCAGGATGTAGATATCCCAGGATGCTCTAGAGCGATTTCTTCATTGACCACAGCGTTGCGCCAGGACTGCCGTCTAGGACATAGGGAGAGGCATGTGCATGTGGTAGACGCTAAGAGCGCGTGCGACACGCCAGCTAAGGACGGCCTGGCCACTGCCACAGAGCGTCGCACCGCCCGGGACCCAGCAATAACATGTCGTGATCTGGAGATGCTTTCGGGGGGACTGCGATGGATGCCCCGCGCTACGATGCCCGTTGACCCATTGACCAAAGACGACATAACCAAAGTGAGCCCCGCCTACATGCACCCGCTCGGATTGCCAACATGAAGTGCGGGCCCCATAGGGAAAGGGGCTCCCGCCTGAGACTTCCTCACAGTTTACTCACATTCGTGGCTCCCGCTCGAGACTTCCTCCACAGGCCAGGGGGGCCCTATAGTGATGATGGTGATGATCATGATGAGTGGTGAGTGATGGTGATGATCGCGGTGGTGATGATGATGGTGTTGATCATGGTGTGGTTGCGATTGAGTGAGCGAGTGAGAAGTGGCGAACGAATGGGCGAGTGGGTGAGTGAATGGGGGAGTGATGATAATGGTGGTGGAATGGTGATGGCTCCGATGGTGATGATGGTGTCGTAATGTTGATATGATGATGTTGCTGATGATTAGGATGACGATGATGGTGATGGTGACGATGATGATGATGATGGTTATGCGGTGGTGATGTGTGTGCCAGTGATTGATTGATTGATTGATTGAGTGATTGAGTGGGTGAGTGAATGATGTGGAGAAGGGGGAGATGTGGGTGGCAGGATT